ACAGAGTACTGGGGGTCTCTGGAGCAGCTGGTGGTCTTCTTCTGGCGGCGGCGAGCCTAAATCCGGGAGCGCGAGAGGGAACTTAATGGAGTTTTCATCGTCGACGGATGATGCTCAGGACGAACCTCGATGGTATGTCGAGGTGCTCAGATCTGGGCAGGTCACAGACATGAAGCTGGTCAAGCACCTTATCGACTTGCGTGTGCAGCTTTCGACCGCAAAACTTCTCTGGATCGAGCAATTCGTCAAGTACGAGAAAGGTTTTGACGTCCTAGGCTCACTATTGGCCAGTCTTGTAGCCAAGGGAGGAGAACGCAGATCACTAGATGACATCGAGACCTCCAACTTATTAGAGACGATGAAATGTCTACGTATCTTGTTGAATACCCAGGTAAGCACTGTTTTCGAATAGCACGTCGCGGAGAAGCCATAACGTTTCACAACGTAGCCTGGATTTGATTATGTCCTCGCGTCTCCAACGCTGATTACCCATATTGCCTATTCTCTGCATTTTTCATCTGGCAAGTCACGCATCTTAGCGTCACAACTTCTTGCCGCCATATGTGTTCTATCGCCTTCACAAGGACACAAGGGTGTAATCAATGCGATGTCGGACTTCAGGGTGGCCTTTGGAGAAGATTTTCGCTTCAAGAGTCTTGTGACATCTCTGCGTGTTGACAACGAACGTGCTGAGATGGGTGCAGGTGTGGACGCAGGCCCAAACGGCTCTGACTTGAGTGATAATCGATGGGAGGAGCTGACCGCGACTATGGTGTTAATCCATTCTATAACCAATGTTCCTGATTCACTCCTTGAACGCATTGAACTTCGAAAAGAACTTACGCGTCGCGGATTGGACGAAGCTGTATTGGTACGTGGAGGTCATGGAATTTGCATTTTTTGAACTGAAGTGTTTCCAGGGCTTGCGACATCTGAAGCCCCCTGACTCTCTTCTCACACAACTCGACGTTTATTCGGAAGAGAAGTCTGCGGACGAAGAGGAACACAGAGAGATGTCTAGTGCGCTTCCTGAAAACCATGATCCTATAACTCAGGCCGTTGTTCAGCTGGCGAAGCAGCACGACCTCTATTCGACTGTTGTCGACATTTTACAGCACGCTGCATCTATGATGGACCGGAATATGGCTGAGTAATGATAATGCTTGTTATTTTTCCATGCAGTCTAGCTGACCCCCGTTCCCCAAGACAAACGAAAGCAACCCTAATGGCAGTGTTGGAGAAGTTCGCCCTGAATTTGTTAGCGCTGGACTCCCTCGACGAATGGAATTCATGTCTACACAGATTCTACGCATCTGTGGAAGGTCTCGTTGGTCGCAATTCATCGGATGCCGCACTGATCGCTCCCATGCGAGTCGTCGAATACGAGGAACTGGAAGCACTTCGCAGCCGTGTAGAAGAGCTTAGTACTGAGGTGCAGTGCTCCAGGACATTATCCGCTTTACTGGCTTGCGAGGCCTGACGCATGTTGCTTTGCAGCGGGTACAATTGCGCAACGACGTGGATCAGAAAGCAGCAGAAATCAATGTACTCAAGTCGTTGCCGCCCAATGGATTCGTCAATCAACTTAAACCTGCAGGAAAAAGCGGCGAGGTATCGAGTTCATTGCTCGGTCAATAGAATCTTTGTTGGCTCACCACCTCGCCACAGAATGTTCACGGGCTAGTTCAACGTTTAGTTCAGAAGGAAAGGCAAGTACTGCAACTACAAACGGAGTTAGAACGTTTCAAGGACCAGAGCTCGGCGGAGAGCCGTGAGGAAGTAGGCCTTCTTGTTTTTCTTAGGTTCACAAGTTTATAACAACACATTTAGGGTGAAAGAGCCAGGCGTGAACGTGATAGGGTGAAATGGAACACCTTGACGGACGAAATCGCGCGACTAAAAAGCAAGGTGCGCCGTGTATCGCATCCTAGAAACTGATTTATGTCGGTCCAATAGAACACAGAGCACGAAGCGTCTTTGGGAATCAAAGATAAAGAGATTCTATATCTCAAACGCGCCCTGGAGTCTGTCTACACTCGTTTCACTTCACGAGAAGAGAACAGGGAACAACGGCCCAGCCTTGACGCGGAGGCTATCGCTTCTGATGCCATTCGCCGACTGCAGCAGAAAGATGATCAAATTGTTGGGCTTACCAGCGAAGCCGAAGAGCTCAAGTCCGAAATCCAGCAGTTGAAGTCTCAAATGGGCGATCTATCGACAAAGCTTGCATCACGACCTATGACTGAGCAGGAGTTCAAAGTGCGTTCCCCACCACCTCCGCCGCCAGTGCCGAAGAAACGCGAGATGTCGTCAGTCGTAGTATCGGATGCCTCAGGTCTTCCAGTGTCGCCTCGATCGCCTCGAATGCAACCGCGTACTTCGCTTCCGTCTTCGCTATTGTCAACTTTGTTACCAACGTCGCAAACACCGTCTGCAGACCCATCTTCGATGTCATCTATGGGACCAGAATCTTTGCTTTCACCGCCACCGCCACCACCGCCACCACCACCATTGGCACCTCAGCCGCCTCCTTCTCCACCGCCACCGCCGACCGTTTCATTTTCGGTTGCATCATCTGCTGCTCTTCCTCCCTCCTCTTTCCCATCTCTGTCTATTTCATCCCACACGTCTTCTATCGGACTGCCACCACCTCCGCCACCGCCGCCACCGTCGTCCAGTAACAGCCTTCCACCTCCTCCACCGCCCCCTCCACCTTCAAATGGAGGATTTGTGCCGCCGCCGCCTCCAGGTCCCCCACCCCCACCTAGTGCCTTCAAGATGGGACCGCGCGGAAAGAATCTGCAGGGCCCCTCCAAGAAATTGAAGCCGTTCTTTTGGAGCAAACTCTCTTCCCCTGCGATTCTGCGCCAGTCCATATGGAGCGAAGCAGACGCGGCCTGGGGGAACGACGCTAACAATGCTATTACACTTGACTTGAGTGATTTAGAGGCAATCTTCTCTATCGACAATGTTGCCAAAAAATCGACCGCTGGTCTGACCGGTCCCATGCGTCGGCATAGTGTCATGACGATGCTGGATATTACCCGTGCGAACAACGTCGCGATTATGTTGTCGCGTATCAAATTGGATCTACCTGACATTCGCCAGGCACTGCTTGAGCTAAGCGATGGATCTTTTTCCATCGATGACCTCCGGGCGATCAGCAGACAGTTGCCAACGTCCGACGAGGTTCGTGAACTGCGTGACATGCTGCCGATATATTTGACTTTTTTCAAGGTCACTCGTATCCAGGACTTCCCCGACATATCGAAACTTGCCAAAGCGGATCAGTACTTTGGCCAGGTAACGAGCATACCCTAATGATGTGGTCGTGGAACTGACGATATCTGGAATTGAACAAGATCATGACAATACCGCGGCTCACTCAGCGTATGGAATGCATGATCTATCGCAGGAAGTCCGAACTAGATCTCGAGGAAATTCGACCTGACCTGAAGATATTGCGGGATGCATCTCAGGAGTTACGATCTTCCGCGAGACTCAAGCAAGTGTTATCGGTGCGTGGAATAGGTTTTGTCATGATAACAGGCCTCGTTTCTGGACTTGCAATTTCAGGTTGTGTTGGCAGTCGGGAATGCACTCAATGGGTCGACGTTCCGAGGTGGAGCTCGTGGCTTCAAGCTGGAAGCTCTCCTCAAGGCACGTCACTGTCCAGGTTTTTTGCATGATGTTCTATAACTTCGTTCCCAGATGAAAGAAACACGAACTGTGAAGGGCGGAACGGAATGTCCCACACTCTTGCACTACATTGCGAAGGTTCTGCTGCGCACGGATCCTTCTCTCGTCAATTTTATCGAAGAGCTGCCTAGCTTGGAAGCTGCTGCTCGTAGTACGTTTGTCAATGCTCCATTGCGATCCGGTGTTCATATATCCTTGTAGTGTCTGTACAATCCCTTTCTCAATCCGTACAGCAACTGGTCGATGGACTCGCCCAGGTGAGAAACGAGATCACACAAGTGCGGTCGCTGAAAACTGTGGACCCACGAGACCGCTTTCTCATCGTAATGCAGGTAAGCGAGAGTTGCTATCTGACACCGAATTGTTGTTGTATACATCGGCATAGCCATTTGTGCTGCAAATTGAGCCTAAAATCACGGCACTGAAGAACATGGCTGAGTCTGTGGATAAGCAGCTGAAGTCTATGGCTACATACTTTGGCGAGACCCTGGATAGTCCAGATGGTCCCAAAGCTGAGGAACTGTTCTCTATATTCACCACTTTCTCGTCTTCACTGCAGGTGAGAAATTTTATTTTATATTTGTTGTTCCGCTGGGTTTGCCTAATGTGACGTCTGCAGAAATGCGCTTTGGAAGTACATGACGCTCAAGAAAAGGCGGCAGCATCAACTGCAGGGACGTCTGTCGGAGATGCTGTGTCATCTGAGGCTAATGCCCGTCACCCGAAGGAGGCGGTGAGTGTATTGGTTGGCGATCTTGGTGATCCCTACTTAGTCATTTGTGTTGTGCCAGTCTGTGGAAGAACAGTCGTCCAAGATGCTCTCGCCTCCTGGTTCTCAAGGCTACACTTCGCGCAGGACGGTTGGTCGTGGTGATGTTGACCAGGCTATACGGAGCATGCGAGACGGCAAGCGGCGCCACAGGAAGGAGCGGACACATGTGGCCCAGATGTTCTATACCGGAAACAAATGATCCTTGCATTTACCATTTATGTAATGTTGCATCTATATAACGGACTGCTAGTACTCATGACAAGATGTTTTATGATCCTGCACAAATCTTTTACGACTAGTATGTATAATCATGACCTTTTGTACCACTGACCTGCTTGATTAATGCATTCTTACCTGTTATAACTTTTCACTGACCGACAGAAGAAGTGAGTGTTCAAGGTGAAGTCATTGTTGAAGTTCAGACGTTGGAAGGTATTCGGTTTGATTTTTTTTTTCTTGGAGCATTGCGGATCGCTCCGGTTTGATTTCTGCTTAACTTGATATAGTATAAGCAGACTCTGTAATATAGGTCACTTTGCCGGAGTGGTTAACGGGATGCCCTGCTAAGGCATTGCATATTGTGCGCGCATGTTCGAATCATGCAGGTGACGTAGTTGCTAGGCAATTCCTCTTTTTGTGTTTCGTGAGACTTTCTAACAGGTATGTAAACGAGAAAGTCCAGGACGGAACCTCCTTGCACATAGCTTGGCATCCAAATGTCCTTTGGGTATGGGGAGTATGGGTGTATTGTTGAGCGGGCGGCGTTGGTCGGCGATCAGAATGCTGCAGTGAAAGCGCAGTTGAACCAGCGAGCTTCAAGTTGACCGTGAACAACGATGTCGATGAGCGCTGTGCTGGTACTGTCATTGGCATCAATAGACATTCCCCAGTCTTGTTTGAATTACTACTATGGCTCGTATTCTGATATCAGCCATCCCGATGAGCCTCTAGCATTGCTGGTGTCGGAATCGCAGGAATGCATTCAAAATGCATTAGACCTAGCTACTTCTGGACACATCGTCTACCCCGAATCCGAGATCCAGCGGCTCGTGTGGATTGAACACAAGGATGTGGATAGTACTCTCGTTTCTGCGGTCCAATTCTCCGGATACACCTTCGACGACTTCTTGCAACGGCTATCTACAAACCATCGTACCTCGGACGCCGACCAGCACGACCAGGATGTACTTACAGTCTATGCTCCATCGCACGAAGTGCTCTATCGCAGTGCATCTGCCGCGCTTCTGTCGCTCAATCCTATGCAGGCTGCTTCCATTGACACACTGGTACCCCGATTCTGGAAATCCAAGCTCGTATCGTCGACGCCGGTGTCTCATTTCCCCGTTCCTCCCGAAGCTATCGAACCTGTCAAGCGTGCCTTAGATGAGCTTGCTTTCAACCCGGTTGTCGCATCCGTGATGGGAAATATTTCGTTGGCGCAGATGACGAATGACATCCGTTTCTTGACTGGAGAGGACGGCCAGTCCGGCATCGTGTCGCGCCACTCTTTTGCCGATGGCTCTCGTCTCGCGGCCGCGTGGCTTAAGGCGCGATTTGAGGACACTGGTGCCACGTGCGAGCTCAAGGACTTCCTCATCGGGTTCGCACCGAATGTTGTGTGCCGCTACGCCGCGGTTGTCGAATCAAATGCAACGGTCCTGCTGAGTGCGCACTACGATAGTCGCGGGTCTTTTGGTAGTGTGCGAGCGCCGGGTGTGTCTATTTGTTTCTACGAGCTCTGAACCATACTGAAGTTTGATCCAAGGCGCCAACGACGACGGCTCGGGAGCTGTATCGCTTCTCGCCATTGCTAGAACAATTGGGCGGAAAGGCATCAAGTTTCATGCCAATGTCGAACTTGTTGCATTCGCTGGAGAAGAGCAGGTTCGTGACGCCAGCACTTTTTTTTGTTGTCACATCACTGAACATATCATTGAAGGGGCTTTTGGGTTCCCGTGCCTACGCACGTATGGGTGCTCCCTTCGCGCCTATTTATGCAAGATCTAATGCGTGTTCACCTTGCCAGGTGAAATGAGGGCAGCGGGGAACAATATCACGCTAATGATTCAGGAACGTGGGCGTTTTCATTGTCATGTTGAGATAGTATTTCACATTCAACGCACAGGCGGATATGTTGGCATACCGCTCTCCGGACGAGCCCGCCCAACTCGGCCTTCCACATTCGTACGTGTTTTGTTCACCGTTTGCCTTCATAAACTTCGGTCTTTTGTCTTACTTGGTTGCTCGCGCATATCCCATAAACTTTTGCGTCCAAACATCTTAGTATCGGGACGCCCGAAGTCGCAGACTTTGTTACCAAGGTGGCTTCTATTTACAGCCCCGAATTGACCGTAGGCTACACCACTGTAAGCCTTGTTAAGTTTCCTGCCGCGATCCGTGCAATCTTAAGACATGCTTCGGCAGGCATGCTGTAGCGACCATCAGGTAAGAATACACTCCGGCTTTGACGTACACTATAATCCTTGATCAAACAATGTGCAGTCATTTCACGAACAGGGCTTTCCGTCGACGCAAGTCTTTGAACGCGCAGGCCCTAGTACGTCGGGTTGGCCTTCTTTGTGACGTTGTGCTCATTAGTCTCAACACTTGAACCCCCACTTGATTCTTCTACCTACTGTTTGCTTCTATTTCCTTAGTCATCGATCCCATGTATCACAATAGCGGCGACCTCAGCGACCGTGTTGGATACGACTTAGAGCAGGCGCGTTCGATTGCCAAGGTGCAGGTGCGTGCCGCCTTGCGCTTTTTTTATTTCTTCTCAATCTAATATTCCCACTTCAATCCAGTTCGCATCTCTCCTTCACGTTGCCGGCTTCGAGCTGTGAGCAGCCGAGTTTACATAGACACGAGCGAATGATGAAAATGGTACGGGATAATAAGCGAGCGATACCCTACATGCATAGAACTACTCGCTCAATGAGCGCCAACATGCCTGAGAGAGGATCGAATATGTTTAGAGCAACGGCAATGCGATATAAGGCAACTTTCTGAACTCATTTCGTTTGTTTAAGAGTTGCTATTGTCCGTTGAAAAGGTATATTCTTGACTTTTGCTTCCTATTTTCATACGTTCATTTGGATTTAATGGTGAACTCCGGGTTGGGATGCTCCTTGATTTTCTAGTTCTTTTGCACGACGAGGATAGAAGATATGGTCCGAACCGTCTCGTGCATTTATCTGGTCCAACATCAACATTGTGCGTCTCTTCGAATATGACGAGCACTTAGATGGAAACTTTTGCACGCCGCACTTCATTGAGGTGTTGCCGCAATTTTGGGCCAATTCAGGGGGCTGGGAGGGCAACATGAATTGTCAGATTTGGTTGTTTCCCTTGCGCATGAGCAACAGAGCGTCGCTTACGATTCCTTTGGACAAAACAGTAGGAACAAGGAAATCAAAATGCCGCAAAATCGGAGTCGTGGCTCAGTGCCCGAGGTCAGAAAGCAGCCATAGTGCTAGTGGAAGTCCTTGAATGCATGATTGCCACCCGGTTGTACACGTGCACGCAAATATACCTTGTGTGCTCTTTGTTCCGCAAGTACGCATAGGTACATACACGTTGATATCCGATAACGTGGACCGACACCCGATACAGCTCGAAATGCCGTTGAACATCTTCGACGATGTGAAATGATTAGTTATACATGCAAATTATGTGAATGCGGTACCGCAGTGTTGATGACAAGTAAGGCGAAAATCCGTAACACGAAATAGCTGGACGAGCATAGAGACGATAAATAATCCGCAATTTACAGACATGAAGAAGATAAGAGAAACAGCATGTGACAACATACGAGTAGAGGATGAAATACGCAAGGAAAGATCATATATGGGAACTGTCGCAGCAGATGAGATTGGCCACTTCGCTTTCGTCATCTTCATCGCTATCCTTCTCATCTTTATGATCACATTCAGGTGGTGGTGTCGGTGAGGAAGGCGGGTGCGGTGGGGGAATTTCGATGACTTCATCATCGTCCTCAGAGTCTGAAGCAATATATATAACCTCGACATTGATAGGAGGAGGTGTCCTATAGAGGTCATTAGAATATGCGTCAGTGCATGAGTGATTCTCGAGCATACCCGCACCGCCGGTGAATACTCAGCACAGGCACGGAGCTTTCACTCTTCACAGAGACACTGCTACGAGCCTGAGCATCGTGGGAATTGTTTGACAGCCGTGGTCGCCTTTGTATCAGGTCAGTAAAGCAGAAGGACAAATAAGTAGACATTCCTTGCTTTCGTCGTGAAAAGTCCGCCAGGGCTTGGGAAGCCAAGCCATGGTCAATTTCGTCCTCCAAGTCACTACGCGTCGTAATGGCACTAGCTTGTCTACATTTTACAGATTCAGCAAACGCAGGAGTGTCATCAACACGGCCTACCTCTTGCGGGTGCGAAGTACTGGTTTGGTATCTTCCTCCTCTTCAAACCTGATGGCATCGAGAAACTCGTGAAGTTGCTGTCCTTGTTCTAGATTCAACATGTCCTCCATTTCGAGCTCCTTGACGAACTTGTCCGTCAATGAATCGTGAAAATTACATAGAAGCTCGAAGGCTTTGTTTCGAACAGGGTACTGCGTGGACATTCAGGGATAGCAATGAAAGAGAGTACGCCATCAACTCACCGTCCGGAGTTTCTCACAACAGAGACAGATGCCGCGCAACTCATCGTGATCGACCTCATCAGGAATGTAAAGACCCTGGAACATGGAGCAAAGAGCTTCAACGAAGTCATCTATAGAGATCATTGCGTCGCCGTTGAACAATCGACTCCCACGAGACCCACGACGTACCCGGAAAGCACTTTGCCTTAACATTCTCGACCAAAGTAACGATTATCCGCAATGCAAGATGGAAATGCAGGTTGCGATCAATGCAGTTCTTCCTGGACTGTTTGCTATAGCAGAACTGAGCGTGTCTTCCAATAATTCATTCATGAGGATGCTTACTAGGCCAGCGTATGTCGAAAGTCAGTCCATCTAAGGAACTGCATTAAGATGACTGGTAATGGGACTCTTTTGTCGGCTTCGTTCTTGTAATAGGCTCGCCATCCGGCAAGAGCCCGGAGAACACCATCACGGCCAAAGAATGACTCGAAAAAAGTCAAATTTATTCCACTGGTATCTTCGGTCATGAAGCGGACTCACTTCGAGCATATTGCGCTGTTCTCGGGCAGTCCGGGTCAGGGCATAGTCTGCAAAAAAGAACCAAAGCGCCTGCTTCGTTTCATTATCGTCAGTAAAGGGGTCGAAATATGTGACCAGAAGGTGTCTCAGAGCCTGAATGGGTGACCAAATTCAGCAGGAAGTTGTTGATGTCAACAGAGGCACATTTATACCTTTTGAGCGTTTTTCGGATTCTGTATGACACCGCAGGCAAGAAGCTTGGCTAAGCCAATACAAGCAACAACTCGATACTTGATTGTTTGCTGTTCTTGGAATAGGACGCCTGCAACAGCCTTCACGAATTCTTCACAGTGGGCCTGCCAGACGTCAGATCGGCAATACCAAAATATGCAAGCACCCACATTCGACTGCAAGATGGCAGGGAACACCAGGATCATATCGAATACGGCCTTCAAACTGTCCTGACGGA